TGAATGACGGTTGGAAGTTTTGAGCCGCCGTTCAGTCTGTGCGATGAGGTTTGCTGCGCCAAGTCCGAAGCGATCAATCACAGAACACGAGAGAGGCCGTGCTTTGATCATTTTCATTTAACACATTAATAATGAAATTAAACAATTATAGGATAATATTTAAATACATTTTAAGCTGTCTCGCGGCCCCTCTGGAGGATCACTGAGGCCCCCTAGTGGGCCGCGACCCCCCAGTTGAGAACCCCTGCTGTGAATGCTGTCAAATGCTTTCTTGAAGTTGAAGAAGTTGATAACAAAGGGTCATTGAAATTTTATATTTTGATTGATGATGTTGCGGCAGGTGAAGATCTGCTCACTGCAATAGGGATGCATCGATCCAATACTCAGTATCGGTATCGGCTCTGATACTGACATTTTCTGCTGGATTGGGTATCGGTCAGATGAGACCGATCCAAATCCGATATTCTGCGTATACTATTCTGTGTTATTGTTAAGCTCCACGAAAGGCACAAAAACATTATAAAGCACCATAACATTTTTGTGCACTATATTGCAAATGTTCTGAAACTCGGGCAAGGAAAGCAGACAAAATTTACTACAGATTTCACATTCTATAAAGTTATCATTATAATGCTATGTTTATGGCAGATTTGTGCTGTATTTTCATCTACATTATCAAGTGATTCTTGAAATCGCTTGCTCGTTTTCTAAGCCATAAAAAGTATTCCTACTGTTGAACAAATATAATGAAAAAGCACTGCTCAGTACATCAGTATTAGTACATTAATACATCAATATAAAAAAAAAGAAACATCTATAAGCAATATGACCGTCTCAAATAACTCAGTAATTATCAGGCATTGCATTTGAGCATGAAACTAAAACTGGTAATATGCAGTGCATTCAGCATTTTAATAAATGTTAATATCCCAACGTATCCTTTATTAGATTAATCAGATATGTATGTAGCTAACTCAGACATCACTATAGCTATGTTTCCATCACCCTATTTTAATGCGCATTTTGAAGTAACGCATGAGAAACGAGTGATGGAAATGCCAAATTTAAAAAAAAATCCCTTAAAAAAATCTGCTAAAAAGTTTTTACACTCGCTTGAGGTGGTTTTAGACTTGTGTGAAAAATGGTTGATGCAAATAATGGGAGATGAAAATGCATTTTGCGAATAAATTCCTCCAAGCGCATCAAAAAATCATGTGACTTTGCGCTATGGGACGGCAAAACCTGACTAACCAGCCCACCGATCTCATTCCACAGCATCTGAAATGTTGTTATGGTCATTTGGAAATGCATGAGCAAAGTCTGTCATCTAAGTATTTCTGTATAATTGCCTCCCAGAAATGACACAACTGCATTCCCAAACAGCAGCATCCACCAACGAAAGCAATGACTGCATTCATTATGTTTCGTCTGCTCGCTCTGAGGCGCAAGTAATTTATTATATATGAAATTTATTATATTCTCCTACTTTTCTTAGTGATTTATAGTGCCAGTTTATCAGGAAGGGATGATTTTGTTCTCTTTGACTTGTCGGATGGAAACGATGCTTGTTCGCAAATGTTTTATGCGATATTCCAGTTTTGCGCATAAGTTAAGCATCATCGTTTTCATGATCGATCGTCGCTGTCACGGCCGAGTATTCGATCACTGTTGCACATCCCTGCATTGAATAGGTTTGTCAGCTGCTGTATCATTTGATTACTGCCATATTTCAGGAATTCTGCAAGGATCTAGTCAATGCCAGCAGCCTTATTGTTTTTCATTGACACTCGTTTCTAGGGTTACGATCAGATCAAGACAAGGTTTGAGTTGAAAAATAAAAACAATGATGCAAATAACAAACAGTTTCACAAATACAATAAGAATATTTTCATTTTAAATCTATTCAACACAAGCTTTCAAGAAATAACATATCTGTCATGAATTCGGTCCGTGGACTTCCGTTTATTCACCACCAGAGGTCACCCTTTCCATTACATTGACTCTCGCACAACACAAACTGTTGCATAGCACCCCGGACTACATATCCCAAACCATCGCTCACTATTCTGAGTTACCAGACTGTTTACTGAGAGTTTTTCTGCGATGGCATAAATCAACCTCTTAGGGCTAAGTTTAGGCGCGAGGGTCCACGTTCATCACTCGCTCAGTTCATGGATTATGCTTTGTTGACTGTCGGATCTTTATTTACTGTGGGTGTCGCGGAGGAAGAACGCGACACAATGTCTGTGACTGAAATGGTGGCTGAACCAGAGCACGCTCACAAAATGGTGGTGGCAGCGGAGCCTGACGCAAAATGACGGCCACACTAGAGCACGCTCACAAGATGGCGGACACAACAGCATCTAGTCAAGTCACGGTTGATCATCATGAGTCAGGTCAAGTAACAGTTTATTATCATGAGTCTAGTCAAGTCACAGTTGATCGTCATGAGTCAAGTCAAGTCGCAACTGATCTTCATGAGTCAAGTCAAGTCTGCAGTTGATCGTCATGAGTCCAGTAAAGTCTCAGCTGAGCTGCCAGAGCCTCATTACGTCACAGCTGATCTGAGGCCTGTCTATGAACTCTCTGCATGTTCTGTTCTGGCCAAGGAGGCCGTCTATGAACTCTCTGCTCGTCCTATTCCGGCCAAGGAGGCCGCCTATGAACTCTCTGCCTGTCCTGTTCCAGCCAAGGAGGCCATCTATGAACTCTCTGCTCGTCCTGTTCCGGCCAAGGAGGCCGCCTATGAACTCTCTGCCTGTCCTGTTCCAGCCAAGGAGGCCATCTATGAACTCTCTGCTCGTCCTGTTCCGGCCAAGGAGGCCGCCTATGAACTCTGTCTGTCTTGTTCCGGCCAAGGAGGTCATCTGGGAACGTTTTGTCTGTCCTGTCACGGCTATAGAAGCCGAATACGAACTCCCTGCTTGTCCTATGGAGGCCATCGGGGAATCCTCATCCTGTCCTGTCATGGTTATGGAGGCCGTTTGTGAACTTTTGTCTTGTCCCGACCCAGCCAGGGAGGCTGCCCCTGAACGCTCAGTCTTGTCTATCAACCCCAATGTTCTGTTTGTGTTGTCTGTCTCTGCTCTCTCATTGTTACAGTCTCCGCCATGGTCTCCTAATCGGTGTGGTTCACCAGGGGGGTTTCCTGTTCCCTCTGCTCTACCGTGGTGGTCCTCTGCCCCGCCATGGTGGTCTAATGTCTGGTTCTGGTGGTCCTCTGCTCCGCCGTGGTGGTTCTCTGCCCCATAAACTGAATAATCAAATGTAAAATACTCGCTACATAGTCTTTAATGAACTAACTACAAAAACCTGCTTAAAGCCGCTTGAACTTAAAGCTACATAAGTTATTCAGTCAAGAGCAGTGAGTGATTCACCCTTTTTGTTCATCAACGTAATTCAGTCCCCAAAGTGTGTGATATAGGGAGGAAATGCTAAATATATTTTACAAAAGTTTTTGACACTAATATAACTTCATAATTTTAGTATTAGTATGTTTGACAGCTTGTTATTGCCATGCCATTAATAGTATTATGGCTATAATTCTAAATGATAAAATATAACATCTCTTTTTATAAAAACTATTATTTTGTTGTTCCTGTACTCTAAATTTCCAGAAGGGTCAAGTACACGCCTACTAGCATTTGCATAGGAAAATAAGAGTCAAAAAAGGCATTACATTTGGCAAGATCTAAAGACATATTATACTAATCACAAACACACAATATTTACACAAATACACCTGACCTTGGAAACTAACAAATAAACACATTTCATGTTTTGCATATCCAAACGCATCACCAGACCAAACGTGTGTGATTTTGTCCAATTAATGCAAGAACTGATCAAATGTAAATGTGTACTTTGAATACAATATAAGTCAGTTTGGACAGAAGTGCCTGTGAAATGCATACATGTAAATGTAAAGTTAACTTTAGATTAAAAGATCAAAAGTGGATTTTCTGAACAAAACATCTGTAAATGTTTGTACATGAAGTATTATCTTTCTGAGGTGATGCTGTTTGTTTTGCATAGACTTAAGAATCACATCGTCCTTCATTTACATGATCCACAAGGATATTTAATCTGAAAAATAAAGCTATATTAAGATTACATGCACCACAAAGCCACTCAAAACAATTAAAGTGATAGCATCCCACTTTAAATCAATCTGTTTATCTATTTCTATGACTTAATCAGGTTAAAATAATGTGAAAGATACACTTTTAACACTTACAGTCTTATATCACTAGCAAATCATGTCTTCTATCATCTGTCTAATGTTTTAAAGCAGATTTATGCGTGATCGGCCAATGAGCATCTTCAGTCAGGCTCTGAGATCAATCTGAGATCATTTATTTGCTGATATTAAATTAAGGAACATTTAATTAATTAATATACAGAGATGGCACGATGATTTTTGTGATATTCTTGTATATTAAACTAAAAGGTGGCTGTCATTCAAAGATTCAGTCTAAATGTGTAGCATCTATTTTACAAGTATAATTAGAAATCATATGATAACGAGTGCCCTAAGATGATCCATCAAAACACAACTTAAAGAGAGACCACAAAAAAAACAATACAGGACACACTTTGCATATCAGACTGTGAAATTGCCTTCTTAACGTAACAAACCCCTTTAAAGAGCATAAGATTAGGAACTTGAGAGACATCCTGATAACTCACTATCACTGAAGGTAGGCCAGCGTTTCATCAGTTCACTCTCAGCGCAGTTTAACAGGTTAGTGCTCTCATTCATAAGTGATGAACGGTTGACTACCAATTATGTTGTACTTTTCACATCTTATTGTTGGTAACGAAACATTACTTTAGCTTTTTTTTTTTCATGTTTTTTTTTCCTCATACAAATATGTAAATTAAACCTTAAAAAACAAGCATGCCAACTTATCAACTATGCAGATAGTATATTAGAAAACTAATTTGGGATTCTTTTGTGTTTTTATATTTTTCCAGTAACAAAAACCACAGACAAAGTGATGGACCAAATTTGGCTTAATCTGCTTTTTCTTTCAGGTAAAACACTGTGCAAAACATTAAAACGTGTAACATTAAATAAATAAATAAATTGTATTTGCATATTCTTGCAATTTTACATACAGCGATATTACAAAGAAACATGTGTAAAAAAAAACACTTTGTAGGCAAGAGTGAGACAAAGAGAATTAAGGTAAATCTAATCAACTCAATAATTTAGATAGTCTGTTATCAATTACAATGACCAAACGCACTGTAGGTGTCAGTAGTGTTGTCTTAAATCTCGATTTTCATTACATAACGATACTGAAACATGGCCGCAGCCGGGGTTTGAAAGTCAGTGAGGCCTGGGGTGTGGTTAAGAATTGGGCTATAATAACCACTACAAATACAACTCATTATATACACAAACAAACTTTAAAAGAGACAGACATATAGATGTTTGTGAAAGATGTGTTCTCTGTTTTGGAGGGATGAACAATGTTAAATCATGCCATATTTATTGCATAAAAATGTCTTAATACTTTACTGTAGGTTGGGGCGGATCATTTTATCAGTTGTTTATTATCCATGCAACAATTCATATTACTGTTATAGCTGTCATTAACCATATATATATATATATATATATATGATAACTTTGTCTAGTGCTCTTATGAAAGTTTTTAGCATGATTTTGTGAAAATTTAACTACCATACTGTATGAAATAGCATAGACATCTTCATGGATAGTGTTTGCATATTTCATTTCATTCTGTAACCACTTGTTCTACAGATCTGTGTACTAGTGTTGATAATGTTTCTGATAGATAATAACATAATGTTTTTTTGCATTTGCCTTACCGAATGTGATATCCTGACCATGGGCTTTTTTGAGTACAGTCACTTTAAGTACCAGCGATGCAGTGTTGCCAGATATTGCTATTAAAACAAATAAAAAAATGCAAATAAACCGTTATTAGTTCAAATCTTTTGTAAATGAGATAAGATAAAGATATTGCTAACCCTAAACTGCAACTTCCCACTTTATTAACTTTATAAAGTGTCAAATTAAGTAGAAAAGAAAAGTCCAAAGATGCTTATAATAGCTGGATCACCCTCACTCACGACTCTCTCAAGCCTCGTTCACTCCAGAGTCTCACAGTGATCATTTTCATACCACAGGCGCTAAACATTCTTGCAAACTGTCTAAACTGAATTAGGCCATAACCTACATGCAGACACTCGTATGAGGAGTTTTAAACATCAAACTAGTCATTCAGAGTACAAATGTTATGTTTGAACAAGGCAAGGCATGTTCATGTATATAGCACATTCCGTACACAATGGTAATTCAAAGTGCTTTACATAAAAGAAAGTAAAATAATCATTAAAAAAATAATCACAAAAATAAAACAAGGAATTAAAAAACTTTGAAGATGATTTAAAAATTGATTTAAAATGAATTTAAGACAGTTAAAAATAGAAAATGATTATACATACATGCATTACAATTAAAATTGACTGTGAAAGTTGTTTTAACTTATTAAACTGACTTAAAAAATCATTTGTTGCCATGAGTTTTTGATTATTACCTGTAATAATTACTCTGTTCCGTAACCAAATTAAGAATTAACGACCATTTCTACAGACATAGCAAAGAGACAGCAGAGAAGAGAGAGCGTTTAACTCAGCAACAGATACAGCATCCTCACATCTCTTGCGCTTATTTTTATCTTTAACGTTAGGCCTTTACTATTCTTAAAAAAATGAATGCTTAATGGTTGATTCAATATTACTCTTTAACAGTGTTGGGAGTAACACATCACAAAAGTAATAATATTACAGTAGTATATTACTTTTTGCTGTAACGCAGTAATATAACTCTTTACTAATAAAATTTGGGTAATATTGGGTAATATTATCAGTATCTCAGTAACGCAAGTTACAACAACATATTTTAACTCTAAATTAAGTGGTGTGATTTTGTGCAATTAATGCAAGAACTGATCAAATGTAAATGTGTACTTTGAATGCAATACAAGTCGGTTTGGACAGAAGTGCCTGTAAAGTTAACTTTACTGGATTTTCTGAATAAAACATCTGTAAATGTTTGTACATGAAGTATGATCTTTCTGAGGTGATGCTGTTTGTTTTGCATAGACTTAAGAATCACATCGTCCTTCATTTACATGCACCACAAAGCCACCCAAAACAATTAAAGTGATAGCATCCCACTTTAAATCAATCTGTTTATCTATTTCTATGACTTAATCAGGTTAAAATAATGTGAAAGATACACTTTTAACACTTACAGGCTTATATCACTAGCAAATCATGTCTTCTATCATCTGTCTAATGTTTTAAAGCAGATTTATGCGTGATCGGCCAATGACACCTATAAGCTTCAGCATACAAATTCAGTTATATACAGCAGCTTTGAAAAAGGCATATTTTAGATTTATTTTTTCTGTGGTATATACTTCTCATATGCCACTGTTATTAGTGATATAACTTTAATGCCAACTGCCAAATATGACACTTACAAATTAATACAATTTATGAACGCACATAGAAAAGAGAGAAAGTAGGGATTTCTTAATTTTTTTAATGTTATTTTTATTTATTTTTTTACACATCTATTTAGTCATTTGTTCTGACCATCAAGTGTCAGTCACTCTCAATGCCAACTGGCAGGAAAACATGGTACATTCTAACCATTTTTTACAATAGATAACGTGCCGACCATTCATACAACTATTTCCACACAGTGGCATTGCAGACGAGCACGCACTGCGGGGGAGCCCGTGATAACCTCCCCGTGCTGAGATGCGTCGTATAGTGTCAACGATAGCCAGAAATATTGTCAAAACAAAGCATCAAAAATTTAGCATTTCCAAGTAATGTAGGCCTGTTACATTCTTATTATTATTAGGCCTATTATTATTATTATTATTAGGTTAATTTTATTATTAAATTACATGAAATTATTGCGCTGCAATAATTTCATAGTGCATTACCGTATGGCACGGTGTGAGGATAATTAAAATTTAGGCTATTAGCTTAGGCTACTCCTCATTGAAAATGTTTAAAATGTGCCGGGGCTAAGCAAGTTTCTGATGGGCCCCGTTTCATTTTGGCTTGTTTAGCAACTTATATTTTTCATTCTTGTTTTCTTCTGAAACCGTTCAAAATTGCCTAAAGGCTAGGTATTGTGTTTATTGTTTGTCCATTATTACATTTCGCTTTACTTACCGGTGTTATTTATTAATGTAATCATGCGGTTTCTGCTTATCTGTGTTTAACCTAAACTACAACGTAACGTTAATGTAGACCTACATACCGGCATCTAAATATGATTTAGACTACCACATTACTCTCCACTGGATGTAGAATGAGCAGCAGTAAACTACATTTTGGCATTTTATAATACTTCTGTGGATATTTTGGTGAAAGTAACTCAAAAGTAGTGTAACGCATTACAATTCAGAGACAGTAATATTGTAATGTAACTAATTACTTTCAAAAGACAGTAACTAGTAATATATAATGTATCACATTTTGGAAGTAACTTGCCCAACACTGCTCTTTAATGAAAAAAAAACCAGACACACAACATCAGCAATGCTACAATGACAAAGTCGCTTATCAAACATAAAACTTTTGTGAACAGAACGAATAAGACTGATGTAGGCCTACCCGCTTTGTAACACAAATAAATGAAAGGTTTTTGAATTTTCCCCTTACTCAAACAAATGTGTATGGCACATTATTATTAATGGGCTAGTTTACTAGTTCACCTCACCACACAAATTCACCTAGTTTAATATAGGTGAATAATATAATTCACCTATATGAACTTTTATTAACAAAACGAATAAGATAAGTATAGCCTTGCTTTGTAACCCAAATAGCCTATATAAGGTATTTCATCTTATTTAAAACGAATGCTTAGTTTGTGGTTCATTGTTATTTTTTTTATGAAAACTCAGCAACAATAAAGACGCTCACTTATATTAAATGAAGAAATTAAAGTTTCATTAACAAAAGTTGTGCTTTTGGATCCGCTATCACAGTGTCAGTCTTCTTGCGTTACTCTTGTCACGTGACACAAAATTGTCCAGGTATCCATTTGAGTTTAAGTATTTGTTCAGCTGATTAAAAACGACCTTTTCAATAATCTTGCCTATAAAAGGAAGATTTGATATTGGTCTATAATCGCTCAAAATGTTGTTACCAAGATTGCTCTTGATAACAACAATCAACAACAATCAAAATGTGTAAAAAAAAAAAAAAAAATTCCAGAGGTCAGGACTAGGGCTGGGCGATATATGACCTAAAATTAAAACCTCTATTAACTGAACACTTTACCTCAAATACGATTATTGAACGATTAGTTATTTTTTATTTTTTGCCCTCATAGTTCATTAAAGGTTTGTATTGTAAATATACTATTAAAAGTGTGTGTGTGTGGGGGGGGGGGCTGTTCTAATGAAAGTGTGCATTTCTTATCTTTAATTTTTTGCAAACAAAATAAATTTATATTGACATGTCAAAAGTAGAAAATAACCAGCATCTCTTGCAAACAAAATACATTTTAAATATTGGCATGTGAAAAGTAGAAAATAATAACTTGCATCTCCTGTAAACAAATATTTTAAATAATGAATATAAATAGAACACTGCTTATTAAGAGAAAGAGCAGGGTAGCATCTCAGTGATCTTGTCCTGTCACTCTTTATGTTTAAATATTTACTCTAGGTTCTTACTGGCCATTCACACAGAACATGTCTTTGAAAAATGTACAGAGGTCCGGACCTCTGTGATCTCATAGCTGGCTACGGGCATGAACTGAAATGTTTGAATCTATAAGATGTTGTTTTTCTGCAGTATTGATATACAATGTCGATACTGCAGCTGCAAGTTCGCACACACCGCAGCAGTCTTACATATCTGCACCTCCTGTCACTCACTCATCTCATTCAGTTCAGTTGAAGCTTTCTGTTACAGTGTTACGACCCGCCACAATCTAATCTGTTCTGTCAAAGTTTCACTTTGTTCATTATCCAGTGTTTTCAGAGGCTCAGTGCAGCTCAGTTCACATTTGACGCTATGAACTCCATGCGCATTTTTAAGTATTGTTAATTTAAACATTCAAGCACAAAAAGACGCGATAGGTGAACTCAGGAAGTGAGCTCTGTTTTACGTGTTCTTGCGCTTGTCAAATATATGACAAATTATGTAGTATCCTCGTACACACAGTAGGTTATGTCTTAAGGGAACGTAAACAACAGAGAGAAAATCATTGTTAGACCTGCCTGAAGAACTTAAAGCACTGTTTGTATATTTGTCCTATTGCATTTGTTTGTGCCATTGGTTGCACTTTGATTATTTGTATTTATTACTGACTTCACTTGTCTTATGTTTGATAATATTTGTATAATTTGGCTGTTTTTTTCCTGTAATATCCAAATGGCACTGAGCCGTGCTTGAGGGTTTAACCCTGACAAATTAAGACATACACTCGTAAACACAGTAGGTAAGTGAAAGCGAACAGCTGAGAAGTAAAACACATGTGTAACAGTATATTGGATCTGGGCAGCTCTTAAAGTGACAGCAGTCATTCATATTAATCAAATAACAAAAGAGAGAAAATCTCTGCTTTTGACTAAATCACTTTTGTAACTTTAAGAAGAAATATATATTTAGTTGACACAGTGAAGAATATGCAGTATTTTTATACATTTGGTTACTTTATACAATGTATGTAGCATTGCTTATTTATTTGTTCTACTGTAGTTTTTTTGTGCTGTTGTTTAATCTTTGCGCTATTGCTTATAGTCTAATTTTTTTATTTAATCACTGATTGTTTACTTGTCTTCAGTGAGTTTTTTTTATTTTATTTAGGCTAGTATTAGTTAATTTGTGATATTGACAGTGGTGACAAGAATTATGAAATTTCTATCAAAAATGTTGATGTCATAAAGACCTTATTTAAAGCAAAAATAACTATATTGTGATATATATATCCCCACCGTGAAATAAAATGACTTGTATCGTGACAGAATATTTATAATATTACCCCTATACACTTTGTAATTTTACTACAGTGAACTAAAGTAATATAATTGTGAAAAAATCATAAATCATATCAAAATATCACCTTTTTTTCATATCATTCAATACCGATATTTATTGTGATATTCATCTACCCTTTAATGGGGAAGGAAATACTTTCGACATGTTTGTTAGACCATGAGAATAAATGTAAACATAACTTTTGTTCACAATTGAACCCCACACAGTAAGCTACCTTTTTAATTTTGGCCAATTTTGCAATTTTTCCCTTTGTCTTTGAAAGTGATATCAAATATCTTTTTTCTCTTTTTTTTACAGCATTGTATCCGAGTTAGAAATTACAGTATTGAGACAACACTAAGTGTCAGAATAAAAACGTGATGACTGGGACAAACTTTAAGAAGGAAATATAATAAAATGACTGTATTCTCTTGCAGGACTGCTGTCATTAACTCTGTGTATACAACAAGAGTATATTCTGATCGAGCAGGCTATGACGTGGGAAAATGCACAGAATTACTGCAGGACGCACCATATTGACCTGGCCACCGTTCAGAGTGATGAAGACTGGACGCGTCTGCAAGAAGCTGCAGATACGTTTTCTGGCTTTGCCTGGATCGGACTGTACAAGGACATCAACAGCTGGCGCTGGTCCTGTAACGAGGAAAGTCTGGTGTTCAAGTCCTGGGCTTCGGGTCAGCCAGATAACTACTATGGAGGAGAGGAGTGTGCTGCAATATATTATAATGGAGGCTGGCAAGATTTCGCCTGCACCATCTCTTATTATTTCATGTGTTATGATGGTGAGAAACATGTATATTCACTCTTTATAGATACTCATTAATTCAGTGTATGAATGAAGACACTAATATAGTGGCTTCCAGTTATATAAAAACTTCTTTTAACTTGAGCGTGTTTTTAGACTGGTGTTTCATGCATGAGACGCTGCAAGAGACGCAAGTGCAACAGTCAAACGCGTCCATGTTTACATAGAAAAAAGCTATGGAAAAGCAGTGCAAGCGAATAAAAAAACCTGTAAAGTACTGCTGTATGTCTGATATGATGACAGACTGAGGTGGTCTAAGTTCGGTACGTTTGTGGGTCCGTTTGTGGTTCGATTTCCTCGTTATTTGTGAAAGCAATGAGGTCCCTTTGTTCTATGGACTATGAATATATATATGATTTTTGTAAAATGGCACAGCTTTTTAAATATCTGAAAGTACACTCTTAACATCAGTAAGTCATGCGCTATAATATGATATTATGATGAATCAAGTATTATTTAATGATAGAACTTTAGTAGTTTAGAATTTAAACTTGATAATCATGTATGAATGCATATTAGTCATTTTAACTGAACTTAGGACTGGTGGTGGTGCTTAAAATATACATTTTGCTAAAACAATTGTTTTTGGACATTAAATGTGTCTTTTGTAGAATTTTAAACCTACACATAAATTTTATTTTTATGATAGTAACTATAAGTGGACTATTGTAATAGGTAAATCAAATGTAAGCTAGTAGGCTACTAATTACTAAGCTCAAAAATCATTTTCTTTATAATTTATTTTCATTTTTAATTCTGTGATTTTAACTTTAAATTTAGTTATTTTAATGCTTTAAAGAGCAATTTTAGATAACTTATTAAAATGACAAAGAATTGACAGAGCAGCCATCAAGTGTTAGACAGTGTTCTAGGTTATTACATGCGGAGGTTTTAGGTCCGATAATTAACACCTCTGTTTTTTTTTCAGAATTTATCAGTAAGAAATTTCTCGTCATCCAGTTTTTTTATATCGACTATGCATTCCGTTAGTTTTTCAAATTGGTATGTTTCGCCGGGCTGCGAAGAAATATAGAGCTGAGTATCATCAGCATAACAGTGAAAGCTAACACCGTGTTTCCTGATCAGAATCAGAATCAGAATCAGAATCAGAGAGTTTTTATTGCCAGGTATGTTTACACATACGAGGAATTTGTTTTCGTGACAGAAGCTTCCACAGTGTAACAGAATGACAGTGACAGAACAAAAAATACAGATAATAAAAATAAAAATAGAACAAGTAAATGATATCTCCCAAGGGTAGCATGTAAAGCGTGAAAAGAATCATATTCATATATCATCTCCATCTTCCACGTGTAGTTCTTCTGTGTGCTTGTAGGCATTTTTTTCTTCTTCTTTACCCTTTGAGGACCGACTGAAACACTTCCAGGTGTATGCCCTGGCTGCCCTCGTCAGTTCCGGGCTGCATTCCAGTTCACTTTTAGACACGCACTCGCAAACTTCCCTAAGCATTCCCCCTCGGGAGAATCCCCGCCACCATTTTGAAGCGCATTCCACTTTGTCAAGTGGACGAGGGAAGATTACATGGACATACCCTCGACCCCTCGATTTTGACCGAGGGAGCGAGTCAGCTTCATATGCACACTTCAGGCTGCTCCATAGACCACAATGCAACATGACTGTGACGTCATTGCAGATCGCATTTAATTTATCCCCACCCCAAACAACTCTATAATATATAAATTATTTGCTTTTTACATTTATAACAGCCCAAGCATATCAATATACATATAGAATGCTGCACCAAACAAATTCGTAAGGGGAATCGTAAACAATAAACCAACTCCATAGCTGATTCTAAGTGATCAAGAGCTTAGGACGTTCCAGTTCAGCACATTCCAAGGGTTCCACCAGTATTGGGAACTCATGCAACATAATCAATGACGTACATCTGAGTAAACGAGATGGAGGGAAGTTAGCGAGTGAAGGGCATAAAAAAAGTGAACTGGAACGCAGCTCCAGAAGAATTGCAGCCTCACTCACTAGTCGCTACCTTCGCTACTGAAGAAAAACAAGTACCGGCAGGATTTTAAAATGTTTATACCAACTTCGTTCTCGTGACATCCCTATAACAGGCTCACACTCGTTAGAGAAAATGAATCTGGCTTTAACGTCTTGACTATTTTTCACAGGAAGTGCAAACGCAACAGAGAAAATGGTTTTGAGCACGACTACAAAGACATGGATTGATGCTCAGGAGTACTGCAGACATCATTATACAAACCTGGCTACCATTAGGAGTCAAGAAGACAATGATGAGATAATCAAGTTGATATATAGTTTGCAGGTTTTTGTCTGGATTGGATTGTACAGAGACAATTGGAAGTGGTCAGATCAGGCGAACATCACTTCCTCAACCCAAATCATTACTCAGACATTTAGAGTGCAGAGCTATGACTGCATTGGTGCAAATATTTATCCTCGTACACTTGAAGACTGGACATGCACCTCAGCTTATTACTTCTGCTGTAACACTGGTAGGTCTGTCCTGAACTATTTTGTACAATCATTTGTTTGTTATTTGTTGACAAACACTGAATAGAAAAATGTGACTTTCATTTAAATTATCTATTTCAGACTTTTACAAAGTACGGTTTTGGTGAAAAGCCAAACCTATCAATTTTAACATTTTGTTACTTATTTAGAAATGTTACACACTAGACAAAATAATTCTAATGTCACAAATAATATTCTCAAGGTTTACTGGGTTTTATATGATTCTTTTGTAGTGTGGGTTTGGAGTACTAAAATTGAAAATTTTTCACAGTCTTCCAAATTGACCCAAACCTAATCAGTTTTTACATAAAGTAATTAATTAAAGGGATAGTTCACCCAAAAATTAAAATTAGCCCATGTTTTACTCACCCTCAAAGCATCCTAGGTGTATATGACTTTATTCTTTCAGACGAACCAATCGGAGTTATATTTTAAATTATCCTTGCTCTTCAAGCGTTAGAATGGGAGTAGGTGGGTGTTTTTGTTCAACAGTCCAAAAGTAGTCAAATAATACGTGCGCATCTGTAATAAAAACATGTTTTACACGGCTCCAGGGGGGTGAATAAAGGCCTCCTGTAGCGAATCGATGTGTTTTTGTAAGAAAAATACCCATATTTAAAATGTTATAAATAATTTTTTTCTAACTTCCAATCACTGTCATACGTGCAAGCCATTCCGGCGGATGACGTAGGACGTATGCGTCGCGCATGTGCCGGTGATTAGTGACGAACGCGGAAGCACGACGGAGAGAGAACAAAACAAAAAGGTGGTCACGAATTAGAAGCACAAAACGAGGATTTGTAAAGATAAATGTAGGAGGTTTTCGATATAAGCCAAGAGGAGACTGGTTTTCCTTTGGTAAAGTAAAGAAACTTTGCTTCCTTTGCCCCTGTAAGCTAGCGAGACTAGCATATCTCACAGGCACGTGCGCGTGTACATCCTACGTCATCCACCGGAATGGCTTGCACGTATGACCGTCAGCGGAAGTGAGAGAAAAGTGTTTATAACGTTTTAAATATGGATATTTTTCTTACAAAAGCACATCGATTCGCTACAGGAGGCGTTTATTCATTATTGATGCACGCACTTTATTTTACTACTTTTGGACTGTTGAACAAAAACACCCACCTACTCCCATTCTAATGCTTGGAAGAGCAAGGAAAAATGTTACTATAACTCTGATTGGATTTGTCTGAAAGAAGAAAGTCATATACACCTCAAATAAAAAATGTTTTTCAAGTCATATACATGCTTTGAGGGTGAGTAAAACATAGGCTAATTTTCATTTTTGGGTGAAATAACCCTTTAATTCATCAACTAATTTATCAAATGAGAAGTTTTGAGTATTGTACCGGCAAAATATTTGCAGTCTCAAACCAGAGCCTTCGCTCTCTGTATTGATGGCCAAATGTGCCAAGCTGCTGTTGCGAGCATCACCAGCTGCTTCTCAGATACAGGTATGTCTAGGAGACAGGACAAACATCTCTCACATATGGAGAGGAGTAGGGTTGCTGTACGGCGGTTCACTCTGAAGTTAAAGCTGCAGTCCGTAACTTTTTCGTGTTCAAAATGTACAACATTTTTATAATAAGCGAGTACACCATGAATCCATTTTCCAAACCGTGTTTTTGGCTTGTCCTGAATCACTACGGTACACCTATAATAAGTGTTTATATTCAGACTGGTTCGGGTAGGTACCGCTCATTACCTGCATGATTCATCATAGACATAAATGGAAAGAAGTAGCTTGTAGCTTACAATGTACTTCCGCAAGATGCACGCAGTTCTGTTTATTAACCGCTAGAGCGCCAAAAGTTACGGACTGTCGCTTTAAGTTAGATGAATATACACTATATATGCGCATATCAAGTGTTTATGAGAAGTGTGGGAGTATTAACCCGCTTACTGCATGACATGGAGGTGCCTGCGCAATCCCTTTCATTTTTTTCCTGCGGAAAGAACTTAAAATACTCTGTCATTTTTGGTCATACAGATAAGAGCAGCCTAATAGGCTACAACATTTGTAAAAACAAAATATTAATGCTTTCATTTATGTACACTCACAATAACACCAAAATGTTGTGCTTTTGTAAAATAGAGAAAATAAAGAGGATGTGCTTTCTGCCATCTAATCTCTGTGATCTCCACTACAATAAACCAGTTACATGCCTCACAGACAAAAGAAAGAAATCTATAGAAAGATTGAAATGTCTACTTTTAAATGAACCAATTAAAAAAAAAAAGATAGATAGATAGATATTAGGGCTGTCAGTTTGACATGTTAACTTAATTAATTAGTTATGAAAAAATAACGAATTAAAATATTTTAACGCAGTTAATGCATTGGCCCCGCCCCCAGACCTGTACGTCATCTTACATTTCAGTTACAGTTGACTGTTGACAAACATGATGCAGGGTAACAACTCCGTAAATGCAGTCATGCCCTAAAATTAAATATATTGGGGCAAAAAATGCCCCTGCATGAGTTTTTGTCTCATATTTATATCAGCGAGAGCAATATCACATGAGTGATTTTGTCCTGAATATCACGAGTTTAAATGTGATTTTATTCAACAGTTCAGTAAATAAGTTGATATTGTGTTATATTTTAAACAGAATATTATGTGTTTTTGTTCAATTTTGCAGAGAATATATTACCTTTCCCCAAAAAAAATCACCCATAGACATCAATGGGAGACTGTAATCCACTCATAAGGAATGAAAAATTTACGCGACATGAATTGCTCTCTCTTACATAATTTGTCAACTACAATGCAGAACACACACACCAGTACACACATCTAACACCATATTCAGGTTTGACTTTAATGTTTGCATATAATTGCAAAAAAATGACACTTCAGTACAAAAAAAATCCTTGACAAAGAGTATTTTTATTATTATTATTATGATTTTATAATGTCCTAACATAAATAAAAAAAAAATATATATATATTTTTTTAGAAGTGTTTCTTTTCCAAGTAGATGGAAACAATTGCCAATTTAACCACGGCACATTGGCCATGCTATCTCCATGAATGAAAATTGGAAATGTGGGTCTTTTATAAAGTGAATTTTACATAAAAAGGTGTTGTTTTTTTCTATAATTTTTTTAAGAATATATGTTTTAATTTATTTATATATGGGTCATTGACATATAAGGATTTTCGATATTTTGTAGTTGTTCAAACATTAACAATGTTGTGTACACATAAATGCATATTAAAATTTTAAATTAAGTGATTTTAGTGTTTTTTCATCTAGATGAATTGGACATAGCCTTAAAAAACGTCATGTGGTGCAACAATGATTTACATTAAAATTAATTAATTTCCTTAACATGCTTAACATTTTTATTTAGTAATTAAATGTAATTAATTTAAGTGTTTAGAAACAAAGTATTTGCATTTCTTTTGAGTTTTTGTAAATAATGATCTCATAGTTTTGTTCTATAATTTTAAAGTTGCCTTTCTTAAATGTAGTTAGCAGACTTATTTTTCTGTAAATTGCATACAACTGATAAAAAATGTTTTCCATTCGCTTAAGCATACTGTAGCAGTGATTCATATTTCAGCCACATAAATTAGATCCTTTATTTTTCATTTAATACAATTATTGCTATTATTGGTCACACTGCATGATGAGTGGTCGCTCCAAATGACACAAAGACCTTATATCATTAAACATCTTTTTAAAGAAACGTGTGAAAAGTGCAGCACATGGCATTAACTGCAGTCATTTTATTAGACCCAGTTATTTCTAAACTTTGCCCAATCTTGGCTGCTCAAATGACCCTTCGCCGGGAGTTTGATTAACAGGCGATCTGACCAATCATGATGCCAAATCCACCATTTCTGTCTGATAAACAAACCAGACAGGAGAGTAGTTTAACGTTGGTGGACTTGAACTTGAAAAATAGTGTGTATTGACATCTCTTCACAGTTGAAACTAAATAACTTCTGATGTTCATTCATGTTTATTTTGTGTTATAACTAGTAAGAGATGATTGGTTCACATGCCGCTTGAACTGAGGTGCTACAGCGATCTGTAATGACACATTAAAGAGCCACAAAACAGTATTTGTTGTTTGAATTTCTTTCAAAAAAAAACTTGCATGAAAGTGACATGGTTTGTCAGACGTAGCAACAGTAACTAAGGAGAGCAGGACTTTGCGAAGGGTTCATTTAGAGTAGCGGAAGGTTGCTGGCTCGGGTTCTGAGATGAAATCATAAACATCTTCTTACATCTAGAGTTTGTGCTTGACTGCAGGGTCAGAATTAACATGCTGCCTATGGCGAGCATTTATTTTACTTTCCTTGGCAGTGGAGTCTGGTAAAATAGATTAAAATGGTTATTAATAAATTACTAATAAATTACTAATAAATGCATAATTACCAAACTAAAATTACATGCTCTAAATTATTTATTTTTTTGCATTTTTCTCATATTGTAAAAAGATTAAACATAAACTGTCTGAAATTACCCAAATTGCATAAAAATCTATTCCAAATGATACTAAAATAAAGTATTTTATGTATATAAACCATTAATTGAATATGAAAGCAGAAAAAACTGCCAATCTGGGACATATTTGGTCGCACCACATGATATTTAAAAATTTAGTCAAATTTACAAGCTCAAAACTGGCCACCTAAACAAAACAAGCTAGCTTCCCATGAAAGGTCACTACGGAATTTATAATAAAAATAAATACTTGTAAAAATAACTTAATATTCATTGTTTTTCTGATGTCATACCACATGATATCCAAATTTGGATACTAACTACATACCAGACATTAAAAAGTTTTCCTTTTTTTTCCAAATTTGAAAGAGATTATTGCCAATTATGGCCAGACGGTCGCACCACAAAAAATTACCATTAACTAAAGTTTTTTGATAAGTTAAAGTTGGTACATATGTGAGAGAGGTACTTCTTATATGCAGCATCTTTTTTATACATTTAAACCGATTTTTAACTGAACAAATGCAATCGGACAGAAACCGTAGGCGTCATGTCATTGACCGATTTATTTAAAAAATACCATAAATCCTCCCAAAACAGCACAAATGTAAAACAATAATGAACTGAGTAAAATTACATTTGTAAACATTTTATTACAATTACATTGTATCCATTATCCTACAGCCGGAGTGTACACCACAAACGAATGGCTTACAACGGTTAAACATCAGTCTAAAAAATTTGATTTAAGAAAACAATCAGATTTCCCCTTTATTGTGAACAAAAACCCACATCAGTCAGTCTTGTACAGACAAAACACAATGCTTTGTGTTTGGAGTTTTGCCCATTTTTGCTCTTTTTGTAAGATTTATAAAGTAAGAGATGTTAATTCTGAGCTGAAATGCCTCAAACTTGTTTGCGTGGAATTCATTCACTGAGTAATCGAAGGCTGTTTCTGTGTTTAGTTAAAGCAGACGCTGAGCAATCAGGACGTCACGATGGAATGGAGGACGCAACCCAACGGGAAAGTCTTTCAGAAGAACAGGACTGGACAAAAACATAGTGAAGCAAACACTACTCGTGTTTGTTCTTCTTTGGGGTGAAATTTATTCTTAGTTACAGATATCTGAATTATTACATTAGACTAACAATTTATAATAATTTCTCAAAAATAGTTACATACAGTATATTCATTTTGCATTTATTCATTTAGTTGACATATGTATGCCTAAATATGAGCTAACAAATGGTAGGATGTAGGGATGCACAATATTAGATTTTTGCTTATATCGCAAATGCCAATATTTTTCAAATCATTTTGGCCAATAGCTGATGCTGATACTGATGTATTTCCCTTTGTTTTGAAACAACACCAAGTCTCTCCTGTTTGGAAATCATTTTAAAGTTATTTTTGAGCAAAACCTTGACAAACATTAAAACTCATAAACATTATTAAAGTTATGTTTTAATTAGAGTACATTGTATATACGTTTTCATAATTCATTTGAAAAAATATTACATATTAATGAATAAATCTGTATAAAATATTTAATTTATAACTGTTTGTGATTTTTATTCATGTAAACTATAGCTTCTGGCCTTTAAATCAAAACAGACTGATTTTAAGACTTTGATACTGCTTTATTTAGTCTCTTAATGATATTTGTGTATTTTACCTATATTTTATTACAAGTAGGCCAACATGGTCAAAGATGGGCATTAGTGGTCCATAGGGAAGTCGTGGCCTAATGGTTAGAGAGTCAGACTCATAACCCAAAGGTTGCGGGTTCGAGTCTCGTACCGGAGGGATTGTAGGTGGGGGTACAGCGCACGCTCCCACCTTCAATACCATGACTGAGGTGCCCTTGAGCAAGGCACCGAACCCCCAACTGCTCCCCGGGCGCCGCAGCATAAATGGCTGTCCACTGCTCCGGGTGTGTGTTCACGGTTCACGGTGTGTTCACTGCTGTGTGTGTGCACTTTGGATGGGTTACCTATATTTTATTACAAGTAGGCACTTTGGATGGGTTAAATACAGAGCACTAGCCACATGTCAATGTCACTTATTAGGAGCACTAGTGATTGTTTTGCACATCGGAGATTTAAATGCAACAATCCATAACAGTGAATCTAATCATCAATGAGGCAAAAGTTTGCTTCAAGAATGACCACACTGCTGTGATCTTATCAACATCACACCCTGAGCACATGTAAGTTATTCGTCTTTTTTGTCAAGATATATCGGTATAATTTTTTCAAATGCTAATGTTTACATTTTTAGCCATTATCGGCTGATTTCGATTACCCTCTGATAAAATCGTGCATCCCTAGTAGAATGTTTTAGCATTGTAATTTTACTGCTACATTTGCCTTTAAGAGTAGATAAAGGCCTTTGGGAGGATTAAAAACTGCATCAAATTTTTTTCACAAATACATTTCACGAAAGTATGACGCAAAAAGCACCAGCCTATTAAACTTTGCAGAATAAATGTACTATATAAATGAGTAGATTTTAAAACTGATTTCAGTCCAATTAAATGTATTACAGTAGGGTTGTAATGGTAAACAAACATGATGGTTCGGTAGGTACCTTGGTTTTGACGTCACGGTTCGGTATGGTTTCGGTACAGAAGGGGGACAATTAAACCTCTTTCTTTTCAGTGGTTTACTGAACAAATTGCTCTTTCTTCAAAGCGGACCTATTGTGTCCCTATTTACAAGATGGGAAATAAATGTCCCCGGAGTGTGCATGTGAAGGTTTAGCTCAAAATACCCCACAGATAACTTTTTATAGCTTGTTAAAATTGTCACTTTTATGGTATGAGCCAAAACGCGTAGTTTTTGTGTTCGTCCCTTTAAATGCAAATGAGCTGGTGCTCCCGGCCCCCTTTTCCACATTCAAAACTATACGAGTGACATGCCTTGGGTATTCTGTAGTCTTTGCTAATGATCCATTGATATGGAGCTATACATTGATACTCCTGATATAATTTTTTGAGGTATTGGCAAATATCGTATCGTTGGGTATGAGAATCAATGTCATATCGTGACAAACCTTAAGATTTACACCCCTATCTTGATCCACTTAAAGGGGTCTGAGTTTTTTTTTTTTAAGTGAACTCAAGTGTAAAACACACTCATAAGAACCAATGAGGTTTGATCTCACGCGTCAAGCAAGTACGGTTGAGCTTTGTGATGAGTGGGGCGGGGCAGAGAGCCGTGGGAACGGAGCGAGGCCGGTGGAGTGAATGATAATGAGCGACACCTGCACCACAAAACGCTCCTCCTCAATGCATGTACTTACTATTAAACCACTACTAAACCATCTGATACAATAGGCTACTTACCCAATACTAAAAATGACTTCATGAATCTATAATGCAGATATACTGCAGTGACCCGTTAAGAACTGGAATAAACAATCATGATGTGGTCATATACATTTTTTAATCACCGTGTACCAGAAAGCAAATATCAAATATGGAATTGGTGCATCCCTATTTTGTTATATTTATATGTGAATATTTAGAAAAACTTAGAATATAAAATGATATAGACTAAAATTATAATATTTACAACAAACATGGTTTTGTACTATGATTATGTGGTTATGGTTCTTCTTTGTAATAAAGTATTTAATGCACTTTTATTTTAGTTACAGTAATTCTGTTGTGTGTTTGTCATTTTTATTATTTTGTCTTGAGCGTGTCCTTATAGTATTCATTATTTATTTATTAGTTGTAGTTTATTTGGTATATCAGTTTTAGTACTTCTCGTTAAATTAAATGAAATGAAAAAAATGTTTTTTTGGCAACTAGCAAAAAAAAGATTTTATGATATTATTTTATTTTACTTCAGTTAAAGTTTATTTGAAGTAACAATGCATTTTGCAACACTTTTAAAGTTAAAAATCTCACTGTGAAACAGACAACAAATGCTGCACTCAATATACTGTATTTCTTTTTAGACTGCAGGATAATATACAGATTTATTTACCTTATATTAACTATATATATATATATATACATACTGTATATATATATTAACTATATAATTTGACTGGATAATATTGTTTATGGAAATATGTTAATGAATTAACAATTAAAATTTGTTCCTAATGAATCTAGCTAATCTACACAGTCTATACTGTTATGATCTATAGATCATATTAAATTATTATTAATATTAACAAATAAAAGTACTAAGCTTATTAATAATGCAATTTAAATCAATGTAAAAATGCTGTTAACAACTCATTTTACATCCACAATCTGATGCATTTCCAAGTAAAACATGTTCTCAATGAGAGAAAAACAGGGTGGGACTTTCATCCCTGAAGAACTGATTGGTCTCTAAATAATAAGTGGTTGAAAAATAAGAGCGTAATTTACTAAGTCTTTGGAGGAAAATTGCTTAAAATTACAGTTTTTCTGCTCATCTTTCCCAGTCAAGATCTGATGAGTTCTCCAGAGGGTGCTGTGTCTGATTTTGCTGCTTGAACTCGTCTATGTAAAGCAGTTCCCTATCTGTCGGTCACTATGAGTTATGTCGTGACGACATTAGGGGGTTTACTTGGGAGCCCCAATCCTCTCTGACTTTAAGGCAAAGCAAGGCAAGGCAAGTTTATTTATATAGCACATTTCATACACAATGGTAATTCAAAGTGCTTTACATAAAAGAAAAGAAAAGAAAAATAATAATCACAACAATAAAACAAGGAATTTAAAAACTTTGAGAATGATTAAAAAATTTATTTAAGATGTTTAAAATGAATTTAAAATGGTTAAGAAAAACGATTATACATATAATACAGTGCAATCAGTTCGGACATCGCACAGTGCTCATTCAATAAATGCACAGCTAAACAGATGAGTTTTGAGTCTGCATTTAAATGTGACTAATGTTTTAGCACATCTGATCTCTTCTGGAAGCTGATTCCAGCTGCGGGTGGCATGATAACTAAAAGCACATTCCCCTTGTTTTGTGTGAACGCTTGGTATTTCTAACTGACTCGATCCTAATGATCTGAGTGGTCTGTTAGGTTTATATTCAGTGAGCATATCTGCTATATATTTAGGTCCTAGGCCATTGAGTGATTTATAAACGAGTAAAAGTACTTTAAAATCAATCCTAAATATAACTGGAAGCCAGTGTAAGGACCTGAGGACTGGTGTAATATGCTCAGATTTTCTGGTTCTAGTCAGAATTCTGGCAGCAGCGTTCTGGATGAGCTGCAGCTGTCTAATGGTCTTCTTGGCAAGGCCGGTGAGGAGACCATTACAATAGTCCACCCTGCTGCTGATAAAGGCATGAACAAGTTTCTCCAAGTCTTGACTGGAAACAAAACATCTAATTCTTGCAATGTTTTTGAGATGATAGTATGCGGATTTAGTTACAGCTTTGACATGACAACTGAAACTAAGGTCTGTCTCCAGAATCACACCAAGATTCCTGACTTGATTTTTAGTTGTTAGACCCCTAGACTCAAGGTATGCATTCACCTTGAGAACTTCATCTTTGTTTCCAAATGCAATGACTTCGGTTTTTTCTTTGTTTAACTGAAGAAAGTTCTCGCACATCCAACTGTTAATTTCATCAATGCATTGGCAGAGGGAGTCAATGGGGCTGTAGTCATTTGGAGATAAGGCTAGGTAAATCTGGGTATCATCTGCATAGCTGTGATAGGCGATTTGGTTCTTTCTCATTATTTGACTTAGTGGGAGCATATACAGGCTAAACAAGAGCGGTGCAAGAATTGAGCCTTGTGGGACTCCGCATGTCATGGACGTCCACTTAGACTTATGCTCTCCTATACTCACATAATAACCTCTCCCTTCTAAGTATGACCTGAACCATTTAATTACCATGCCAGAAAGCCCAACCAAGTTTTCCAGTCTCTCTAGTAGTATGTTATGATCGACAGTATCAAACGCAGCACTGAGATCTAGTAGTACCAGCACTGATATTTTGCCAGATTCAGAATTTAAGCGAATATCAGGCAGAGAGCCGTGGGAACGGAGCGAGGCCGGTGGAGTGAATGATAATGAGCGACACCTGCACCACAAAACGCTCCTCCTCAATGCATGTACTTACTATTAAACCA